AAATAACATCTGAGAAATTTGAGTAGCGTAGAGGCAAGTGGTGCGCTTGGTAGTATGCTTCTAATCCTGATTCTCGCCCTGACCACCAAGCCTTCTCCTCTATGGTTCTGAGGAACCGAAGCACTAATTTGAGTATCGGCCTACATAGTGAGCTTTTGTGTAAGCCGTATCCACTATGCCACTATGACTATGAATGGAAACGGAAGCCTGGGGCGTCCAAAAAAAGGAGTGGATCACCGGGAAACGCTTTAGCTTTTATATTGGGGAACATCCCCAACTACTAAATAAATATGCTACTTTCCGCCGTGACTAGTCCAAAAATCCATTACGACTTTTTTTTCTAAACGGTAACTTTTAGCGCTGCCGTATTGGATCGTCTCAACAGTTGCCTGGAAAGTGATGGACGTCTTGTGGTGTCAGAACGCCAATCTTCTTTCGATCCTTTAAAGCCGCATCAGAATTTCAGGCGAGTTTGACCAAGCCTAACTTTACTGCCTCAAATTGTTTCCTCAATGGAATCAGCTTCCTGAAGGGATGTCAACCGCCTTGCTTGACAGTTCAATTCTTGGACTACGGAAAGTGGAAAGTTGCAGGGCTTTTCTTTCAATGGATGCTCGCAATGGAGAGATCTCACGAGCTATGCGAAATCGTAGTGTTGAAATTTTTGTGACTACACACCAGCAGTGGAATTCCAGTCCTCCAGACATAACTGCAGTTTTGTCTTCACATGGAAAAATAATCCCACAGAAGGTAGTTCTTGGAAAAAGGGTTCGCGAACGATTCTTATGTTATGGTTTTCAGCTCTCGAAATCGCTGTCTTCCTTACCGGCTGAAAAACAGCTTCATTTTTCTGCTCTCCTGAGCGAAATGTCGATTGAAGAAGCGTGCCGTATAATAGGCCTTCCATATTCGGAAACCGCAGACGTTGCATTGTGCCACAGTTCAATAGCCCCATTCGTGGAAGAAGTTGACACGGAAGGGTAAGTCATTCCTTCCTTCTTTTATTTAATGCTCTGAACATGTTCCTCTACAGGTACGAATCATGGCTTCTAAGGGCATGGAAGGAATGCAGTGACGTTGACCCTTTCTCTGGCTTATTCCTCGCTTTACTTGTCCACTTCGACGAGCTCTTCCGACGTGAGAGTTGTCGATGCACAAGTTTTTCGTATGATATTGGTTAGTTCTTTCATGTACTGCTTATTTTTTTTCTATGAGATAGTTAGTTCATCAGTAATGCTCTGAGAAAGGGTAGTTTCCAAAACGAGGGTGTATTTGAAGCATATCCGGTCGTTGGAGGGAGGATCCGCATTCGCATTTGCCTTTAAGAAATGTCCTTGTGCCCGGTTGCCCTTTCACGGTCTTCCCGTTTCACGTGCACTATTTGTTTACCACCTCCCTCCCCAGCTGGGGCACATGGTTGTTCTGGATTCCCCAAGGGGTGGGTCGTATTTGAGCTAAGAAAAATTTATTTTGATGATGAGGAGGGAACTAGGGGAGTCGTACCAGCCCCTGCAAAAAAAAGGTGGAGGGGGGGGGTCGTCGTACGGACTCGACTAAGACCCTCAACTAATGATGCGCACTGCCCTAACCGCCCTACGACTCGGCAGCAGCTCCTGAGGGAAAACCCGAGAATTTCTGGAAAATTTCGCCAAAAAGTACACGCAGTTGAAATATTTTGATGGAGAGATGGTAGGGCGGTGGAAAGGGTGTTGTAGGATCGGAAAAGGGTCGCACCAGAGAAGGAATTTCTGATCGTATCTTGGAAAATTGCCCCCAACAGTAAGACGTGCCCCTGGGTGCAATGAAGACATTTGTCATGATTGCGCATCATCAAAGTTCTCTTTGTACGGGTTAGCGAGGTACATGGAACATATAAGGTGTGGATTCCTGAGATGTTCCTTCTGAAATAGGATCTCATTCTCGTTCGATGCTTCCATTGTCCCAAGAAGTTCAAATGAAATGTTGTTCATCACCTGTAGAGTTCGGGACTTGATCCCTTGATTGTTAGGGGCATTAAAATCCCATGCGCGTGGGTAGGCGGTTCTTAGAGATATAGAGTGGAAAGGGTATCCTTAGTGAATGTCTAAGGCAGCGTTTAGTCTTCGCGACAGCAGTCCTTCGGCCGCGTGTTCGATGTGACGCAGTAGGAAGCATACGCATGGATCGCACCGAACGCGCGGCCGAAGGGCTATCGTCGTGAAGTCTGAACGCTGCCTAAAGCCAGCAATAACGCGAGGTTGTTCCCCTTCATGGCTCCCGAAAAGCGGCGATGGGACCGTCATTAGTCTAGGTAACGCCACTCGCTGAAATTGTCCCACCCCGTCTTGGCTGAATATGCAGACGATCTTATATCTGTGATAGCAGATATGAGGTGTTCGAATTTACAAGCTCCATATTCTAGCTTTACCTGCGGTGAGTCGTTTACGTAAAATGTCGCTGGACATGGAACACTCTCATCACCCCATTGACTCTCGTTTCCACCACGGAATCCCAGGATCTGAGGGTAGCG